TCAATCATGTCGCTTCGCTCATGCATATTATCGTATTCATTTGGCAGATAGCATGAAGCCTCGTGAAGAAAACATATAAAATCAAAGACCAATATTTACTGTCACGTTCAAAGCTCAATCTTTATTGGCATTTCCCCATAGAGATTAAAGCCCAATCTTCATTTGAATCTCCCTACAGAGATCAGAACCCAAATTTCATTGGCACCTTCCCACATAGACTGAAGCCCAATTGTTATTGGCACCTTGAAACTAAAATCACCATTAGTAAATACATCCACAGTGGTACTAATTGATGCAAGAGCCTTACTTTTCTTTAATACTTTTGACTAAGAGCACTAGGAAACAACATACACATTCAAACATAATGTTTGATCATACATCAACACCTTGCATATAGTAATCATCATTACATAACATTACATCACAAAAACGCATAACATTTACATTGAGATGGAGTATTACACAATAAAACTCAAACATGCATACGGCGCATAAGCCAATATTCGAAGCTTTTCTCGGAAATGAAAATTAACCCTAGTTAATCCAGCGATACTCCTCAGAAAATAATACCACCTCCACTAGTACTCCTTATTGGTATTCCCGGCAGGTTTCCCTTGAAGCATTATTTTCTAATTGCCTTTGGCTTCTCACCACTTTTCTATACCTTTTTGCATAAGAGATCTTTTTTTACCAAGAGTCTTGCTTGTCACAAGTTCTCTCTTCCTTTTGCATGAGAGATGTTCAATATCTCCCAACCTCGGAGTTGATGACAATCACTTATTTCCTCAACTTCAAAGTTAATAATAGTCATTTCCTTCCCCAGCCGCAGAGTTGATTATAATCATTTATTACCCCGTTCGCAGTATTGATGTTGCTTATACCTGATACCCCAGTTGCGGTACTAATATTGCTCACACTTGATACCCAGTCACAATACAGATGTCAATCATATCTCTTTCTTCAACCACATAGTTGATAATTTACCTCAGTCGCAGTACTGATGTTGCTCATACTTTTACCCCTGTCACAGTACTGATAATAATTGTTCATTACCCCATTTGCAGTACTGATGTCGGTCATATTTTTATCCCCAACCATAGAGTTGATGTTAATCATTCTTTACCCCAATCGCAATATTTATGTTCCTCATATTTTTGTCTCCAAGCGCAGAGTTGATGATTTACCCCAATCGCAGTACTGATGTCAATCATATTTTTGTCCCCAACCGTAGAGATGATAGTATTCATTTGTTACCCCAGTCACAGTAATGATGTCGATCATATTTTTGTCTCCAACCACATAGTTGATGATTTGCCCTAATCACAGTACTGTTATTGCACATATTTTTGTCTCCAACCACAAAGTTGATGATTTACCCTAGTCATAGTACTGATGTCGATCATATTTTTGTCTCCAACCCCAGGGTTGATGATTTACCCTAGTCGCAGTATTGATGTTGCTCATATTTTTGTCTTCAACCGCAAAATTGATGATTTACCCCAGGCACGGTACTGACGTTGCTCATATTTTTATCTCCAAAGGCAGAGTTGATGATAATCATCCATTACCCTAGTGGCAACACTAATATGAATCATTTTTTTCTCCAATCGCAGAGTTGAGGATGATCAATTTGTATTCCAGTCGCAGTATTGATGTTGAATTTTAGGCATAATGTCATACAATTAACTCCCGTGCAAAGGCTCACCTACCTGTTTCAAATACTTACTCACTTCTTTCCCACTTTTTGGAAATCACTCGAGAATATCTCAACTACCAATACCTGCCAAAGCTTGTTACCGGAGGCAAATTAAGAAAAAATCATAAACACTTCTACACAATCTCCTCTTCTACCTTGAATGTTTGAAAGCCATTGTTATCCATACCTTCAAGTTTAACATAATTAAATAGGGGCAGATGTCATACTCCAAAAGTTTTCATCCTAATTATATTTTCACTTGGCTTAGGCATCCCATTCATCTGCATATCTTTCCATTAAGGTCATTAACAACATATCATGCATCAAATGAATAAAAACCTAAGGGATCAAAGGATTATAATACATGCGTGGTCAAAGGTTTTATTGGTGTTAAATATCCTTTACCTATGAGCGTTTATCTTCAACCAAGTTCTCATTGATTGTGTATTGAGATTCATCTATTGTGCTTACGTTTGACCATGGATTAAGGTTCTCATTATCATTTGGTGCTCTATTCATTTAGTCTTTTCCATCATTTGAGGTGGTATCATTTAGTCACGTGTATTATAAGTCATTGGCTCTAGATCTTATGCAAGAGAAGATGTGTGGATTCATATGAATTCATTCCACCACTAGAGTCTTGTTCACCATTGATTCAAGATTTTTCATCTGTTTAATTAGGTTACTAGCCACTAATTATGGATTTTGTGCAAGAATTAATATGAAATATGGTAGAATTTATGAATCATTTCAAAATGAAGGACATTTCGTGGAACTTTGACTTTTGGTCAATGTCAACCATAGAAGGTTGACTTTTAAACTAGAGTCCATGTTAAGTTTGTGGATTTCATCTTATCTTGATAAGTGTTCATTCAAGTATGGCAAGATTGAAGATAAAGTGAAAAATCTTGGAATTTAAAATTCAAAATGGAGGGAATAATAAAATTGTGTTACTTAGAGAACAAGTCAACTACAAGATGAATTAATTTTCATTACAAAGGTCAAATTCATTACAAGTCAAACAAGTATTACAAGAAAAAACATTACAATTAAAGGGACTATAAAAAACAATTACAAGAAAAGCAACAGTTGACTTTTTGGCCAATAGTTAACTTAGTTGTCAACTGTTGACCATTGACCAACTTGACCTCTTAGAGCATCTCCAATGGTGCAACTCAATTTTGGGTTCTTTGCGGGACCCATTAAGCCACGTCAGCTTGAAGCAACCCAACTAATTTTTCACTCCAATGGTGCAACTCTAAAGAACTCATAATGGGTCCCACAACTTTACTTTATATATTAATATTTTATTCATATTAAATTCTATATCATTTAAAATAATAATTTTAATTATTTAAATTAAAATTCATATAAAATAAATAAAATTCAAATTAAACTTATAATTTAAAATGATAATTAAAATTAATTTCAAATACATTACATATAATTAAAAACAATAAAAATAAATAACATCACATAAATTAATCAAACTTAAATTTCATCATCTTCATGTCCAAAACGTTCCCAAATATACTCGACTAGATCTCCTTGAAGTTGACGATGAACTTGTTTTTCACGAATATTTGCTCTTCTTTGTAGTATTGTTGCAAGATTCGGATGAGGACCGCTAAATGTTTCAGTTGTTGAGTGATTGTTATCCACATTATCATAAGAGTAATCAAAATTACCTCCATATGTATGTCGTTCATCTTCAACAATCATGTTGTGCAATATGATGCACGCATATATGGTATGTTTGAGGGTGTCCATGTGCCAGGCACGCGCTGGACCACGTATAATTGCAAATCGAGATTGAAGCACTCCAAATGCCCTCTCCACATCTTTTCTAGCTGATTCTTGATGTTGAGCAAATAATTTTTTCTTCTCTCCTTGTGGCATTGAAATGGTCTTCACAAATGTAGCCCACTCAGGATATATACCATCGGCTAAATAATACCCCATATTATATGGTGTTCCATTGATTGTATATTTCACATTGGGAGCATGTCCTTCCAAAATATCGTTAAACACGTTGGATTGGTTTAACACATTAATGTCATTGTTTGAACCAGCAATACCAAAAAAAGCATGCCAAATCCATAAGTCTTGTGATGCCGCTGCTTCAAGCATGATTGTGGGCTTTCCATGATCACCTCGACAAAATTGTCCTTTCCATGCAACAGGACAATTTTTCCACTCCCAATGCATACAATTAATGGAACCCAACATACCTGGAAAGCCACGTGACTCTCCCATTTGTAAAAGATGTTCAACATCAGTGTTGTTAGGCTTTCTCAAATACTCAGCCCCAAATACAGCATTCACGCCCCGAACGAATCTTTGTAAGCACTCAATTGAAGTGCTTTCACCTATTCGAACATATTCGTCTACAACGTCAGCAGGAGACCCATACGCCAACATATGAATAGCAGATGTACATTTATGCAATGGTGAAAGACCCATTTTACCAGTTGCATCAACCCTCATTTGGAAATATTCATCATGATTTCCAAGGGCATCTACAATTCGAAGAAATACATGCCTATGCATTCTGAACCTTCTTCGGAATTGAACATCTGTGTATACTGGGTTTTCCGAGAAGTAGTCATTGAATAATCGATTGTGCCCTTCTTCACGACTACGATCTACCATTGTTCTTCTCTTTGGCATAGATGAACTTCCAGATTGACGTTCATTTTCAAGCAATTGTTCTTCATCACTATCGTCGATAAATTCTTCTTCAATCAACTCCCAAAATTCTTGGTCGAAATCATCTGAATTGTCTGAATCCATTTTAGTGAATTAAGAGTGATAGAAAAATGAGAGAAGAATTAGAGAAGTATGATAGAAGAATAAGATGAGAATGGGAAAACAATGACATAAGTGATAGTATATATAATGGTTTGAATAACGACTAGTTTGAATAACGGCTAGTTTGAATAACGGCTAGTTTGAATAACGGCTAGTTTGAATAACGGCTAGTTTGAATAAAGGATAGTTTGAATAACAGCTAGTTTGAATAACGGCTAGTTTGAATAAAGGATAGTTTGAATAACGGCTAGTTTGAATAAATCATAGTTTGATTAACGGCTAGTTTGAATAACGGCTAGTTTGAATAACATAATATTTATTATACTTTAAAGTGGTACTAATGACCATTTTACATAGGTGTTGATAATTTAAAGTGGTACTAATGACCATTTTACATAGGTGTTGATAAATTAAAGTGGTACTAATGACCATTTTACATAGGTGTTGATAATTTAAAGTGGTACTAATGTCCATTTTACATAAGTGATACTAACTACAATCCATATTTTTTTTTCATCTTATTACAATATTTTTCATGAATATCTCGTTGACTATCACTCATAGTAGAAGTGTCTTTCATGATGATTTGCATTGCCTTTAATTCTAGCTCGTCCTCCTTACTTTGAGCTAGTCTTTCCATTGTTGCTGCTCTTTTATTCCTTGCATCTTGTGTTGCATTTGGAATTTCCTTTGCCTTACCCTTCCTTTTTGCTGCTTTTTGTCCCATTGGATGCTCCATTGGTGATGATGAGTTAAACTCGTAACTTGAAGGTGTATCTGAGTTAGCCGATGATGCCCCACTAGCAGAAGTCTTTGTTACTTTTGAAGAATTTCCAATCGATTCTCCCATCCATTTAGGTTCATCTTTTAACAATCGCCATGCGTACTCAAGATTGAATGTTGTACCTTCATCCTGAGCAAAAAAAGCATGTGCAGAGGCCATGATATCGTTATCTGATGTCCCACTTTTCTTTCCATTAACAGCTTGTTTGTAACACCCAACAAATTTTTGAACCAAACCATTTATTTTATGCCATCGGCATTTTAATTGCCCCCCTAACTTTTCCCGCCATTGCCCACGATACTGGTTATAATTGGCAGCTATTCTTAACCAAAAACTCTCAGCCTTTTGATCAACTCCCACAATTGGATCCTTTGAAACATTGAGCCATGATTGGATAAGAAGTATATCCTCATCCCTTGTAAATTGCTCTCGAGATTTTTTTTTAACGACTTGAGTACCAACTTGAGTAGAAAATGGTGGAACTTAGGTAGAAAATTCCATACTATTAGAATTCATTTGAGGTATATGATACATATTTGGATTGTTTGGTGATGGAAAAAATATGGCGTGGTTTGTTGGCATCGATGGAATTTGAGAATTTTGAGGATTATGATTTTGATAATTTTGCATGAAATTGAACATAGCTTGTTGATAATGAAATTGATTAGAATCCATTTGTCCTAATGAGAATAAATAGTTGGAAAAAAAATTTAAAGTTGAAGAGTAAAATAATAAAATTGTGAAAGAGGAATTTGAAATTTAAGAGAAAGTAGAAGTAAAAAAAATGTTGTGTTGGTAAAATAATTTGAAACTTATATTTATAAACAAAAAAAATAAGTTAAAAAAATTAAAAAAAAAAAAAAGTAACTAGCCAACGGCTAGTTTTAATTTTTTAATATAAAAAATTAAAAACTAACTGTTGCTTGCTATGTGTACGTTTGCCAGCTGGAGAACTTTAATGGAAAGAAAAAACACACGCTCCGTTGGACAGCTGGTGAACCAATAGAAAAAACAGGCCGCTGGAGGTGCTCTTAAAACTTAATTCTTTTCAGCTCCATTCTGTTTCCATCATCACAATTCCATCTTCATCATCTTTATGACCAAATGGCTTCAAGTGTAACCATGTTCAAATCTAAATTACCACTTACCAAACCTGCAGCAAAGACATGCCATAAACATCAACATCCAGTTCATGTCACAAAAAGCAATTCCAATTCAAATCCAACATACATATTGCCACTTCAATACAAACAGATCAATATAACCAAAGTTCAACCATAATGCACTTTAAAGCCATACAACATAATTTCAACAACATACATGATAATACATACCGACATCCATAAAAAATTCAAAGCCATACAGTCACATCTGAACATAACCAATGCACATGACACAAGCTGTTGCAAAGCATATCGAGTCAAGTAACACATCTAACTTCCTCAAATCGATCTTAACTACCTTCAACTCAGCTCAAAACTAACTCAAACATAGTCTAACTGACCAAGTTAACCAACCTAACTAACTGAGTTAGAAGCACCCTAATTGTCTCTCCTCAATCCAATGGCTCAGATACAATCTCCATCACCTATATAACAAACTATCATCTCTCACAACAGAGACACACTCCATTTTTCTTCAGTCTCCACCATTTCACTCCTCATTCTCCCAACTTCATCTTCTTCCTCTCATTCTTCCATCTTCAACCCCACTCATCTTCAACCTCTCTTCATACCCACACCTCACAAACCTTCGCCTAAAGCTCCTTCCAAGTACTTAATTAAAGCTTCACATTGAAGCTTCAATGGAGTATAGCTAAAACTTCCACCATCATCATCTTTAGATTCTAATCTGTGGCTCTCATTATCATCTCCATTATACTTCTATCTTCTATTAACATTAACAACAATACAACATCTAGTATCTCAGTAACTCCATTATACACATTGTTTTTTGTTTTATTTTTATTTTTGAAGAAGTGTTGGGCCTCAGAATCTGGCCCAGAGCGCCATTAGAGGCCTCACACCCTTTTCCAGTCAGAACGCCCTATTTCTTTAAATAATTTTCACCCATTTTCTTTTAGTCCTTTCTAGTTCATTCTACTCAGAAAAGAAATAAAAACAAATAGGATTTTTTTTAATATTAGGATTAATTATAATATAATTCTTTTTAATTCCTTTAATGTTTATTTTCACTCATTTTACTACTTTTGATGCTTTTATGTTTTGCTTGACTTCATGGTTTGTGCTTGTTGATTCTTGCTAAAAATTACCAATAAAATGACCTATAATCTTTTCTATGCTCCCTTAGGCATATTTGGGTTCAAATTAATTAAGTCACATTTCTTTATTAAATTGAATTAAAATTAAAACTTTAGGTTTAAATCCTTAAACAATACACGTTTCCTTATGATTTTCTCCAATCAAAAACCCTAGATTTTAAGTCTCCCTCATTTGGAATAACAACATTATCAAATCCCTCATCATTTGTGTTGTACCCCAAAATTTTACCTCCCATTTTTTACTCAAGATGATATCCCAGGGTTTCTTAAATACTCAAATTGGCTCAAAAGTTGATCAAACATATTTTCTTCCTAGGCAACCAGTCAGCAATTAGGGTTTTACACTTCTCAAAGGTTTTCCGAATCCATGGCCCAGATAACTGCAAAGGCATTTGTGTGATTTCTATTTGTTTTCTTAACTATAATCTTCTGAAGATTGATTTTACTTTTGAGGGCATATTCTATTTGAATAAGGTGCAAAGTTTAAGGCTATCATCTTTAAGCAAATCATGATTGAGGGTTCAATTAATCACTTAGGTTTGAGCTTATAAACATTTATTTTGTTTAAAAGTGCAAGATACATGGTTTATCCTATCATATTATGTTTACTTGAAGTACAAGTTATCAAGCTAGGATGCTTATTCAAGACATTCAAACCAAGAATTGCAAAATTAAAATAAAACTCAGAAGTTTTGTACAATAAATTTACATTGTTACTCAAGCTTTGTTCATTACAGTTTGGTGGGTCTTTTACAAATGATTACAAGTGGTTGCAAAAATTAAAAGTGAAATACAAAGTTTAAATCTACAAAGAAAATTTGCTTCTTCTTCAAGACTCATTGCTTCATCCTCAAGAAATTCCCCATTTGCTAGCCTTTGTCTTTCTTGCCAATTGTTTGTACATGTGACAGAAGAAAAGAAAAAATTAGCAAGCATCGTGGAAAATCCCAAGCAAGAATTAAGTGTTAAAAGAATTTTTCATTTCATCGTGAGGGTTTATATTTGGAATCAGATTAAGAGGGGTTTATTTTTAATCATGGGCCATTTATCCCAATTGCAAATCACAAAAGGTTGCATTTTCTTGGTTCACAAAAAAGAGAAAAGGGAAATTGCTAACATTGCCTGAAACAAGCAGCAAACTGCCAAGCATAACAGATGAATAAGAAAACAACAACCGTAACCAAAAGCCAAGTCAATGCAGCCCCAATTAAAGCAACGGCGGGCTGCTAAGGCAGCAAAATAGAAAACAACAGTATGAACAAAAAACAGGCTGCAAGCAGCACAACAAAGCAATATACACTGTAAACAACAACTATGCTTAAAGCAGATCAACAAGCAACTCAAAACAAACAAAGAGAACAACAAACTAGCCATGGCTCACCAAAACCCTATGCCTCATCATTTCCCTAAGAATATAAACCCTTCAGAAACGCATCAAAAGCAAAAATGCTTTATCTCACAAAGAGAGGAAAGAGGAAAGATATCACTTAGCCAACAAATTCCAAGACAAGCAGGTTGCTATAAGCAACAGTCCAAGAAGACCTGCTCAAAAAGCCTCCCTATGCTGCCCATAGCAGTCCAAAGACCTGTCCAAGTTCTGCACAAAAGCATGTAAACATAAACCATAGCAACTAGTCTGCAATACAGTCCAAAAAATGCCCAGAGTTGCACCAAAATGGAAACAGTCCAAGCTGCACTCAAAAGCCAAAAACTAAAAAAGGGCCAAAACTGTCAAAATTCAAAGTGGTTTTCCCTCCTATTTTTTTACCCTAATCAAAGAACAAGTTTACTATTTTATAGAGGAGAGAACCATCAGATTAAAGGGAGACAAATACATCACAAAGAACAACAGCACATAACGAGCAAAAATATCAAAAACCACAAAAACTCAGAACAAGAGGTTCAACAAAATCTTTTGTTCCAAACCAACTGAAACATCATCAATCCCATCTCCAAACCAACTGAAACATCATCAATACCATCTCCAAACCCAACTGAAATATCACAAAAACATCACAAAGAAACCAGGACAAAATATCATCAAACCATCTCCAAACCAACTGAAACATCATCAATACCATCTCCAAACCCAACTGAAATATCACAAAAACATCACAAAGAAACCAGAACAAAATATCATCAAACCATCTCCAAACCAACAGAACATGAACAAACCATCTTCAAACCCCAACTAAAACATCACAAAAACCAGATACAGAACTAGCAAAAATATCAAAACCACAAAAACTCAGAATAAGAGGTTCAACAAAATATTTTGTTTCAAACCAACAGAAGCATCATCAACACCACCATCCAACCATCATAAAAAAACAGCAAATAACAAAAAACACAGAACCAAAAGTCCACTATTCAAAACTTGTCATCAAACCCAGCAAATCAGTAGCAAATTAATAAACAACAAGAACCCTAATCTGATAAACAGGGTAATACAAGCTCAGAAGAAGAAAAAGTAACACAAGCTTAGAAGGAGAAAGAAATCGCCCACAACACAGAGTCATAATCATCTTACCAAAAAGAACGTCAAGAGGTAAGTAGGGTTATAGATCTGGACCTCACCAAGCGATCTCTTTCTTCTCTTTCCTTCTTTCTTTGAATATACTGTTGCATGCATCACTATCTTTGCCGTTTTCATCAAACAGAAATTAGGGTTTCCCTTTTCCCATTTCTATATTTAGAGCCATCAAGTGAAAATCTATAGAAATAAGTCACAAATTAGTAACTAGCATTAAGAGACGATCATAAAAATGTAAGAAAAGTAAGGGTTTGAGAGACGCCGCCGCCGTAAGGCGATTTCCGGCGTGGCCAAAGGGTCTTCTCCGGTGAAGGCCCATAGTAAGAGATAAGAGAGAAGAGAGAGGACAGAGCGTTCAAGAGAGAGAAAGAAAGTGGAGTTATGAAGCCTGGCTTCATGAGTAAGCGTTTTTGTGTTATTTGACAACAATGCTCCGGTCTAATCTGGTGGTGACACCTCTTTAGCTGTCCAGAATGATTCCCCACTTGCCACCCCATGATAGTGTGATGCGCCCTTATCATCTATCCCTTTGATCAGTTATCACACCCTTTCAATGCGTCTTAGATGCATGCCTTTGGTACACCTCTAGGGAGTTGCTGTATTGGATTAGCCAGAAGCATTTGGGCTTACTAATTTTTGCACCCCCTATTTTTACTTATTTTACAGGCCCATTTCTACTTTCTTCTTTATATCTTTTGTTTGTTAATATTTTCTTCTTCATTATTTTTTTTATTATTTTATTTTTTAGCATATATTTAAGAAATGTAAATATGTTAACATTTGTTTTAAATAATTATTGATTTTAAAATAATTTTTATTTAACATTATTAATTAAGTCCTTAATTAATCTTATCAAATGAA